CCTTGATCGAAAGTGAGCCCGCCCTTCACGAAGCATGGAAAGTCAAAGGATGCGAAGAGAGCGCCACTACTCTCTTTCCGGGAAAGATAACTCCTAGGTTAGGCCGACAAGACATCAAGAGGGAGAGAAAGAAAACCCCCTCTACCGCTACCCCATAAAGAAGAGCTCGCTTCACTTGCTTACTAAAAAGCCAGGAGAGAAAGCCAAGCATTTTTTTTAGTACAAAAAAGTAAGATATTTATATACGTAAGCCCTCACATTATGAGACTGAAGGAAAGACTCCTGCTTCAAGGTCCTTAGATTAGACCACTGGCTTGTTTGGCCCGAAGGCAGAATCAAAGCCAGAAGGAATTACAGACAGAAGCACTTCTAACTCCCCTAAAATTTAGATCGAAGAAATGATAGGTCCGCCTATAACCCTATTAGCTCGAGAGCAAGAAAAGAAGGAGGGAGGGACTACTTAGACTACTTAATTGATAGAGCCCGGCACGATTACTGGATCGAAAGAAAGGTACACTTAACACTAACCCAATCCAGATGAAACAACTCTTATCGGAACCCAGCTTCTCTTTTTTAGCGAATAAAGATTGAAGTAGCTCTTACACTTACTATATTTTAAATCTTTCTTATTTTTCATATGAAAGAAGGAGAAAGGGGGCTGCTACTGCAACCAAGCAATTGGTGCAGACGCTCTACGATGCAATCAGACAATGAGAGAGCGGACTCTCTTTCTCTAAGGGACACTTCCTCATTTTTTCCACCCTCCGTGGAGGGGGAGTACCATGTAGTTAGGAAGATGATCGATGCCTAAAGCATGTCTACTTAAGATCTCTATCCTTTCTGGTGATCAAGATATCCCAAGAAGAGAGACCTGACGGCGCGCCTTTACTAGAAGAGAAGGAAAGAAGACACTTACTAGAAATCTATTCCACTACCGCTTGATTTCTCTCTGTCCACAGCCATGACTCACCCACCTTTCCATCCCCCCTCAAAGATCCACCCGATCGATGAAGACTTGAACCGAACTCGCAGTGATCAAATCGACTTTGGAGAGTAAATCCTCAGGGCAAGCCAAAGGAAGGACGGGATAGAGCTCCAAGACAGGCTGAAGGCAGAGAAGGATAGACGAGACAAGGAAGCAAAGGAGAAAAGAAAGATCGGAATAGAATAGAGGTAACGGTTGAAGGAACGGTAGACCCAACTCTGTATACTTAACCGGAAGCAGGGCATTCCACCGATTCCACTTAGGGATAAAGCCTTTCCCGTATCTATTTGAACCCGATCTTAAAATTTCTATCCGGTAGACTTGGTAAGGTAAAAGGGCCCCGACTTATTTGATTTCCAGAATTATAGTTCGACCGCAGCTTCCCCTTTTTTGTTTTGGGGGGATCAAGTTCCTTGCCAACTATCGACCCCGATCTCTTTTCATTTATTTGGGGTATTACTATCCTAGCCTTCGTCAATCACACTAAAGCAGAGCACCCAACTACGGCAAGGCCCCCTTAATTAAGGGTTAGGTTAGTCAATCCGGCCCGAGACGCGTTCGTTGACAAAACCGCCGTAGGAATGGAGACCTTTCAATAGAGCGGAGGCGAACTGATCAACGAGAAAGAGGCCCTACTCACTACAAACGAATACACCACAAGATCGAACTGCACTCATGCCTCTGCCACATCAAGTTGACCGACCCCCTAAGTAGTTCTTCTATCAATCATGTACGTAGGTAGGGTCCCCCATTCTGATTGGTATATCATGAAAAATGAAAGCCATTTGCACCAGGCGCACTGCGCTTTCCCTTGCCTAGATGTTCGCCTTTCTAAGTCAAGTAATGGTGACCCGCCGAAGACTGGAGCCTCATAACATGTTGACGAAGACCCCCGAACTGAGGGTTCGATCAGTAGAGGGGACGACTTAGCCTCCCCGGAAGAAGAATAGCCCCGCTCTCTAGCCGACTGATCCCGTTGATCATATAACTGGGAGGGAACGTGTCACATTAGAGGTGAACGATCAGAGATGTCCGATAATTACCACGATGAGGCTGGTCCCTCTTTTATTTTTGTAGACTAAGCTATGAATATGAATGAATGTCGGGCTCTTTCTTTCACTGCTAACCCCAAGAAGTTTCTTAATGCTGATATTTTCTGTTTCGTCGAGCCCCGAGCTTGTGGTCCTCCTTTGAGTGTGGGTTCCATTGGATGAATCTCTCAAGTCAAGGTTCACGTACATAGCAGCAAGAATGGTGCAGCGCCTATTTATCGTTCTCGCTCGGGAGCCAAAACGAACACGCCTGCTACCTACTGTACTGGACCTTCGACCAGGCATTATACCCTTGTCGAATCGGAACCAACCACCACTGTATTGCGCTCGAACAGTTGAGCGGCCGCCGGCCAGCAACTTCCGTACCGTACACAGATATAGATTCATTCTTCGTACCTGGTCCAACTTCACAACCCTTCGCGGGTTGGTCAGAAGTCAGTCTTGTTTGGTAAGACTCTATTGAACAAAGCAAAGAAAAGAGAGTGCTCGACCGGAACAACGGCCAACAAAGACCGTAATTACATAGATAACAGCTCCTCCCTTTCTCCGGCTTTAAGGCGAACCGTATGGCGGCTGGAAAGAAAGACGACCTCACCTTCTCGTAGATGGTGTCAGTGAGAGCAACTTGAGTATCCCCCGTTGACCTTCTTTTGTAGATAGAATCTTCAATGAGTGTAAACAACTTACTAATAAAGGTGCGCTTGTTGAGTAAGGCCGTTTTCTTGCAGGAGTGCTAACGCGCGCCCTGATTCTTCGCTTGCTCCGCAGTACGAGCCTCATACAGAGCCCCTTTAATATGATGAGGAGAAGGCCAGACCCAACCCCGCCCTCTTTTCTGCACCAATCTTTATTTACGACTATATTTATATATTTGGGGTGTATAGCTCAGTTGGTAGAGCATTGGGCTTTTAACCTAATGGTCGCAGGTTCAAGTCCTGCTATACCCAAACAAACCTACCTTACACTATACCTATGAATTAATAAGGATGCGTAGTAACGTTCAAAGATAACTCTTTGGCCTTTAGACTCGCTTCAGCGACTTCGCCCTTTAAGTGAGTGAGAAGGGGGTGAGGTAAGGAGTAGTATAAGAGTGGCTCGGTCGCCTCTCCTTATTTGATTCATTCTATAGGGCGGGGCTGCAGACCAACAATCCAGCAAAAGGGCTTAAAAGCTCCTTTATCAAACCTTCCCCTTTTAATAATAATAAGGTAAGCATCAAAGCCCAGCAAACCTAACCTATACAAAGAGCTCTTTTCAGCCCCTACTCCCAACAAGTGAAAGTAGCTGGCACCCACCATACCTTGCTTCGGGGCCGATCTCTTGTATCGAAGCAAACATATATATAAATATATATATATATTAGTTCCACCATAAATCGATTTTGCCGCTTAGATTGGATTAATGAGAAAAAGTGTATTCAATTCAACCATTCGCATGGTCTCCCCTAAGACTGACCTGACCTCTTTTCCAAATGAACCGAACCTCGATACCACATTCATCAAAGAGAGACGGCCATCTCTCTAGGTTGCACACCCCTTTAGATTAGATCGTTCTATTCGTGCTTGAAAAACGACCCCGCTCCTCATCCTCAATCTGGCGCATCTCTTCCCTCTTCAAGTTAGAGTCGAGTGAATGAATTCTGGCACAAGAGATAGTCAGACTGTCTCTTCTCTTCTAAGGTGTGGGCTTGCAAGAATTAAGTAGTAATAAGTCCTCGAATCGGGAAATGAGCTAGCCTTAAAGGAAATATTTTTATAACCTGAAGTCTCTTTCATGAGCTCAGCTTTAGTGCCACGTTCAAGCTCAAAGCAGGGAAAGGCGGGTATGAACTCATACTAGTTAGCCTGGATTGGCACCTCTTCTCGGAAAGATTCCACTCGATCTAACTCAAAAAATGAATCTTTCACTGGATAAGGAAGAGTAAGGTTAGCAAGTCCTCAAGCAGCTTCTAGCACCTAATAAAATACTTTATAGTAACCTAACTTCCAAGCATGCATGAGATTCTATCTTATATAGAAAATGCACTTAAGCTGTAATAATAAGATAATCAGTATCATTCTATTTCCAGCTAAGAAAGCATGTTGAATGATCTAGCTTCCCAAACGAGCTCACAAGCGAGTGGAACGGAGTAAACAAGAAATAGAGCATAGAAGTGGAATATCTTCTATTTACGTGCTGGTGATTGAGCTGGAGATAAAGTATCTTCCTCTCCTTTACTTACAGTCGAGCTCTATTAACATAGACCCTATAGCTTAACTCGAGTAACTACGTGCCTTTAGCTCTAGTTCAGTTACACTTATTAACACGAAGGCTAGTGCTAGTTGAGATCAGGGACGGACTCTAACTGCCCCGCTGGCCGGAGGGAAAAAGAACTCCATAGATTGAGTCAATTTACACAAACAGAAGGAATATTGGCCTATTGATCTTGACCAGCCTCGACAGGTTCCACAACATTTGTAATTAATTTCAGTTGCAGAAGTATGGTAGAAGTTTGTGCAACTGCAGGCTCGGCTTAGTAGGTAGCAGTCCCCTAGGTCAGACTTTGAGTTTTATTTATTTCCATCTTAGAGGTACGTAGTTCTCGACTGTAAAGGAGAGGATGGAAGACTTAGCAACTTAGCAATTACGTAAGCTTTTGAATTACAAGTAATTCTTACGGCTTTGGAATACCTTATAGTTGCAAGCAAGAGCAGAGCGAAGGTTCGGAGATCTCGAGCGAAGCCAGGAAACAGAAAGTCTGATTATTAGCCTTACCATTACAGTGAGCGAAGAAAGTTACCTAGACTAATAAGGCGAGACTTAGGGACCTAGCTAGATTCACTAGCACCGTCTACTCTCACAGCGGATAGGGATTCCGTTCCCTTTCTAACTGTAAGAGCTGCTACGGATATAAGTCCCACAGATCCCCCTTCTCGAGCTTATTCTTTTTAAGAGACTGATGCCAACTATGAATATACGATCGAATGCGCTCTTGTCTATTTTTAGACTTCTTACTTTTTTTTTTGCCTTTGATCTTTGAAGCCTTCCCCAACGGAACAAATGCTGCTGCTCCTTCTGTTCAGAGTTCGCATGACTTCGCTCTCGTTGTGCGTGGACTTCCTAATCGAACTAAGATGGATCGGGCTGTTGGCTCAGAGAAGGTTTTATCGGGGAAGGAATAAGAAAAAGCTTTGTTGACTGAAGAATAAAGAAATTCTTTTCCATGGGAGGGGAAGCTAACTTAACTTCAACTGAAAGGTGGGGCTGTGAACTAAAACCAGGTATCTGGAACTGGAATGGTGTTCAAACAGAGATTCCACAGAAATAGAATCTGGAGAAGGAGAATCAGACATGGGATACCAATATGGGAGGGCATATAAGTATATTACTTTGGGGATCCCTCTGAAAAAGTAGCTGCAAGACCGAACGAAGCAGATGCTGAGACAAGTAGCGGAGTTTAGTCCTTTTCTGAGTCTTTGGAGTTTGTTTGGGCACGAGAGTAACTCGACTTCAAGGCCAAGGTCCGAAGATGTTGTCAATCTTGATTATGGCAAGGTAGGACACATAAGCCTAACCCCGAGCTGAGCTAGAGTTTTTTCTTTTTATTTTTAGGTATAGTTCAGTAGCAGGAGGGGTAGGAGTCATTCCCTAGAGCCTAAAGTGAGGAAGGGGAAATGAGACAAAGGCTAACTAAGGACGAAGTACGGAAGATTCTTACTCCCAGGTGAAGGTTCTAGAATAAGGATAAGGAAGTCCACCGGGATTGGCTTAAAGCTAAGCCAGGTGCTATAGGTGAGGAAGGTTTTAGATAGAGTCCGGAAGTGAAAGATGAGCCAACACTGCCCTACGTTCTACCCTTCCAGCAACTAGTGAATAAGCATACCCAGGTTCTAGAAGTAAGAATAGTAGTCAGTTTACTTGAAAAGTAATTCCCCTGTTGAGGCTAGAACGATTCTATCAGTACTAACGGATGCTCCTTTACTAACTCAACCTAACGGATTCGGCATCATTACTATACAATATTTTTCCTTGAAAAAAGTACAGTAGATTATTATTATTCTACTAGAAGTACTCGGTTCTGCGTTATACTAACTACTCTATATATTAGTATGTTCGAAGAATCTAATCTTTTTCTACTGGTTCAGCAAGCTAGCTGAACTATCAAACAAACAAAAATCACAATAATAAGGATCAAAGGGCTATTCTCCTAACAGTAAGTACTAGGACTAAGACATTCCCGGAGGTTCCTACAATTGAGAAAAAGTCTCCATACGAGCAGTCATGATGCCATCCTATCCTTCCTACAAACTACATATGTATAGTGGGAGCCTCCTACGAACCAGTTGCAGTTGTTTTGCCATTCGCTGGGGTTGAAGTTTCTTATCAGCCGGAGATCCTAGTTTCTTTTTCTTCTCCTATAGAATTGACTTACTTACTTTATACTTTAGAGTAAGACTTTCTTCCCAGTTAGAAAAAGAATATCACTATCAATCAGCTTGAAAGACATCAGAATCAAAGGCAAGCCCATCTAAGATAGTTTGAGTGTTTGCTTAATCTGATACTTCCCGAGCCTTTCTTTTGCCTGTGCGGAGTCCTAGTGCTTCATTTCTTCGGTCCCGAGCAAATTTAAGCTAGAAAAGCGTAGCTCTCATGATTTCTTCGGACCATTGCTCTATTTTTTAGTCGTATCAGCTTTGATTTGACTTTCCTTGTCCGTCGAGTCAGTAGTCGATCTAGTAAGATTCTTGTATGATAAGTAGCCCATTCTCTTAGGCTTCCCTTCAGGCCTAGTAGTAATTCTTCTTTCTACTCCATCAAGATGGTCAGTGCCACTGTCTTTCTTGATTCATGTAGGATGGGTTGGTTAAGGCGAAGCAGGTTATCAAGAATCCATTCAATTAGATGCTGGTTCATTGGCCTTGCCCCTTTCCACTCCTTCACCTCTTTAACTGGGTGGGGGACAGGCAGTTGAACTCAAAGCTGCTGGAACGAGAGTTTAAGAAAGAGGCGGAACATCGCTCTCCGTGGCAGCAAAGGGAAAACGAGATATTGATTCAGTCGGAGATAGACTTTCGATGAGCTCCAGTAGATGCACAATGAGATTCACCCTGTATTGACGGTGTTAGTGCTCTATATCAAATCATTCTGTTTCGGAGTACCTCTTGACTGTAAGATGTCTAACAATGCCTTCATCTTTGCAGAACTTATTGAAATCACAGAACTCCAACTTGGATGTACTCTGACCAGAAAGAAGACCTCTCTTGCTCAACATTGTCAGGCCTTTCTCACTCATGTGTCCCAGCCTCATGTGCCATAATATGGTTTCATCTGAATCTGACATGGAGGAAGATACAGCAGCTGTGCCTGTAACGGTAGACCCTTGCAACACATAAAATCTACCAATCTGATGAGCCTTCATCACAATTAGAGCACCCTTCACAACCTTCAAAACACCATCACCGAAAACAAATTTACAACCACCAAGATCTAAAGTGGTCAAAGAGATAAGATTCTTTGACATGTCTGGAACATGCCGCACCTCAGTTCTCACCGCACCGTCGTGCATTTTGACCGAACCAATACCAACTACATTGCAGGGGTGATCATTGCCCATCAACACAACTCCACTGTCAACCGATAGGATTGGAACGTCATGGCAATTCGTTCTTGACTTTAGACTAAGGTAAGTCGAAATTCGGTTGTTTTTTTTAATTTTATATAGAAGAAAAATCCATCCGCTCTTCTTCTTCCTTTGAATAAGGAAAGTGACTTGGAATCTTTCTCTCTCTCTTTGTCTCATTGCTATCAATCAACGGTTCGAAAGCCAAGGAAAGAAAGTGGAAAATTAGGGTTGTGACTGGACACCACATCGGTGAGGATTGCGCTATGCCACCTGTCCGTCCTTACCTGGGTGGGAGTACTGCAAAGCTAACGGTAGGTCAGACAGGTCTGGGATCATCTTTCGGCTGGAACAACCTTTATTATGGGCATGATCAGCTAAAGATCACTGTCATCTCACGAATTGGATTCGAACCCAAAGACTTTACTTTATTAGATCGTGAGTCTATCTGTCGTCCTCCTCATTCTATTCAAGTCCTTTTAGTAACAATCCATTCCCCGAATACAAAAAATGGAGATGAAAAATATTAGTCGACCTTATGTCGGGAGTTAACCTGGTGATAGCCTAACTCCCTTAGTTAGTCAATGAAGTTGTTCCAAATGGAACAGCGAGCGGTGCCAAAGTTGCGATTGAGCACACGGAAATGCTCAAGACGCTCATCGATGTCGTGCTCCCAGTCGTCATGAAGAGCCACCTCGAGCGCACGCTGTCGCTACTGCGAAAATCGGCGCCGGCTGAACAGAAGAGTCGCCACCGCGCGTTATTTATCCCACGGGAGGGAAAGGAAACGCTCAGAGTAAACCTCGCACAACACGGGAAAGGTATGGTCATCGCAACCAAAACCTGGATTCGGGAGTCGGTTACGCAAGGGGAAGGTATTAGCACCCCTCACGTCCGTCGTACTCGACGGGATCCACGCTTGTTTTCGGGTATGGATTGTTATTCTATCTAAGCTATAGGTCAAGGGTTAAAAAGAAAATAAAATGAAAATAAAAATGACTCGGCAAAGTATCGCACTTTATGCCTACGTATTCCCGCCTGGAACGAGAAATCAGAGTCAACGTAGTTCGCCTACCTACGGGAAAGGAGGGGAAGGTTGCTCGCTAGGATATCGCATCCTATGCCTCCGTACTTCCACACAGCATGGAAGATCAGAGCAAACGTAGTTCGGGCCACGTACGACACGAGTCTGTCTTGATTGATTTTATTCCTTCTGAAAAAGGTTTTCTTGATTAACAGTCCCGGCGGACAAAAATGACGCTTTGATGAGTTCACATTCTTTTACGGAAGAAGTGTCTTTTATTGTGTTTGAAATCTTTATGTGTTTTTCTGTTTGTTTTGAGAAAGAAGAGACATAACTCTAACCTACGGTTGCGAAGGGAATCAAACTATCCTAATGTTATCATGCATGGGTTAAGACCTAGTGTCTATCATGCTCCTCTCTTGCACAGAGAGAAACAGAGATCCTATGGGATAGGCAGAAACAGAAACAATATCAGATATATACAGTAAAACAGTAAAATGCATGGATGCAACAGTACAAGCGAGGCAAGGGAGTCCCACTCAACCTCGAACCTAGAAAACAATAGGCAAAAGTGAACAGACTTCACTTTCAACCCAACAGGTTAAACAGCAAACAATACAGTCCAGAAAACCAATCAATACATCAACAATGAAATACATCAGCAAAAGAAACAGCATCAGCAGCTCTGAATCAACATCTAGCTTCAAGTAATCTCCAATCAGCTACAGGCTTCAACAAGCATCAATCTCCATCCTCATGGCCTTCAGGTAAGGGCTTTGATCATCAGTCTTCTATCTGCAATGGCTTTTCTTCAAGTTCAAACCTCCAGGATGAGGGATCAGTCACAAGAGTGAATTGGGTGTTAAGCAATCAGTTGACTACCAAGGGTGGTGAACAGACTGCTTCTAACACAAGAGACATTCTCTCTCAAGAGTTCTATCTCATAGACACTATCACCAAGCCTTCCAAAGGAAGGGGGTGAGTGTCTTGGAGAGACTCTGAATCACAGAGAAGAATGGATGCAGACAAGGCAATCCAGGTTTGAGAAACACACTTTCTAACCTAGAGCTCTGCCTAGCTCCTAAACCCTAGTCTCCTCAGCAGCTGCTAGCAAGAATCTTCTCTTCAACTCTGGAAGTTGATCTTCAACATCTGGATCTCCAATGGCTTCATCTTCTCAAGTCTTCAGCTCTCCTAAGTTCCCAGACAATCCCAATACCCAAGCAAGCAAGCAATAATCCCCAGAGGGCACACCACACCAGTCAATCATACATACACAGAGTATTAATAGCAGTAGGGGAATCCTGACTTTTCTAAGGGGATCTAATAACTACCCATAGCCCCTATAGTCCCATAGCTAAACTATTCAAACCCTAAGTCCTAAGGGAAATGAATTGATTCTCCTAAGTCATCACCTAAAACCCTAGTTTGTTCATATTATTCACACCTAAACTAAACACCTAAATTTAATTTCTAAAAATGGGAACTAAATTGTATCTACAAGTTTAATGTCTAAACTAAACAACCTAAAAAGAATGGACAAAAAATATTAAAGCATCTAATAGAACAAAAATTAACAAAATCATGCATGAAATGAAACTATTTAAAATGCTATTTATTTAGAAAATATGGGAAAAATATCAAATAAAAATGAAATGCAATTTTTTATTTTTTTATAATTTTCTAGACATCCTAAAGAAAATAATGTAAAAAGAATGAATTAAAAATGATTTTTT